GACGTCTTTGACTTGGTGATCCCAGTATATGATTTCAGGAGTAACCTTCTTACACAGAGCTGCTGACAATACTTCTCCTGTTTTTGTAGCAATTATATTATCTTTTCGTAGTAAGAGTTTAACCATTAATGATAGGTTATCGTCACTACTATTTATTAAATTTTTGGTGATTCATAAGTCATTATTGATCAAGCATCGCTCTTTGAATACTAAATTAAATCTTTCTTCAACATGTCCTATGATTATACCATGCAAATATTGTAATTGTGGATAATTAGGATAAAACGGCCGCTGTTTTATTTTTGTTAGTAGTGTGACAACTTTATAATATTACTTAGTTTATAATTTTGCAATTTTATTACAGAACTTTCTGTATTGCATACTGCTCGCTCTTGTAGCTTTTTACTAAAATAAATATTATAAGCTCGCTCTTGTGCTGGATGCAGCAGTTGTGCTTTTTATATTTTAATAATAATTATAAGTCTTCAATACATATTTAATCTTTGGTTGATTGGCTTTTATACAATCTCTTGTATCTGTAATGGCACCCATGTATAAATATATTTGGATTCTATATAAGTGTATTTTCTTTTGTTACGCATTGTCTTTTATAAGGATGACATGCAGCAGCATTCCCGAGTTTGCCTATAATATGACTATCTTCGGTCTTTTTTCTTTTCTTAGATGTAGGCTGTATGTAGTAGTACACTACTCAGTACCCCACTAACTAAAACTATATTTTAAAGAATTGTTAGTGGTCTGGCTATTATTACTTAGCTGCCTTAATTCTTATTTATTCCAGTATTTAGTATTTATTAATTTATTAAACGATGGGATCGGGATGGCCTCTTTCGTACGTTCATTCTTTTGTACTTCTATAGTTAATTTGATCAAGGATTTGGTTCATACCTCTCTTGATATACTAAAACGGGAATGTTTTATGATTTCAGTGATACTTCTTATGCAGTAGTAAATTTTCATGAGTACAGCTGCCGAGAGGTCTGTAATAGAAGCAGTTTACGGGTCTTGGTATTGCCAAATAAGTTCCAGTATTTGGTTAAGTTTACTAATATAACTGATTGAGTTACTCTTTTGAGGCTAAGTTTATTAATATTAACTTTGTAAAAGGCAATAGGATAATTTGCCCTTCTTTCATTGTAGATTTCTTAGTATAATTTTTTAATTGTTTTCTTGTTATTGTTTAATTTTGTTATTAATACTATTATTATTTATTATTATTATTTTTTGGGTTAGTGTTATTATTACTGAGTAAGTGGAAGCGAAGCAAAATCACTTAAAGATTCGGCTTCAAGCTTTGATTTTGCAGGATAAGGCTGGATAGATTGCGGAGATGAAGGATGAGCTGTGATTGGTATTTTTAGAGAACAGAAAAGATTAATGAATCTATTAACAACTCTACCACTCCTTAACTGTATGCAAACTACCCTAGTAGCTCCCTTACCACCTACTAAATTTTCCACTATTTCAGCTCGCCTCTACTGTACTTTAGAAGCGATTTCATCATTCAGAAGAACTACTTCTCTTTACATTGGAGGCCTTATATTTACATACTTAGATTGTTTATGAATAATTTGATTTTCACCAATTAATTGATAGATATAATCTTTTTGCCATATAATCCATAATTTGTCTAGAGTACCTTTTAATTAACCATAAAATATTTTCAACCTTCTGTATTCCCAAAGATCAATTTCTTCTTCAATATTCTTGAAGAACTGTGAAATTAAGAAATCAACAGGTTGTAATACCCGTGTAGTATCCAGCATTGGTTGCGCAGCTGGTCTATTATTGATGATTCTGGTGCTATTGTTTATAAAAATATCTACTTCTATCTTAGTTAATAGCTTTTTACCTATAGTCTCTTTTGAAAAGTCTTTTACTAAGCCTTCTAATCTTTCACATACTCTTCCTTCCCATAGAGCACGAGCAACTATGAATTTTCATTTAATAATATGATGTTTAGCTAATGCAGTTAATTAAGGAGTATTATCGGAAATGATACTTTCAGGTTTATCTCCTATTCTTATAAATCTTTGAAATATATGTTCCAAAGTAGAGGTAGATAAATCGTCAGGCATCTCCAAATGTATGGCTCTAGACGTAAAACAAGTGAATAATGCGATCTATATTTTAGAGATACATGATCTTCTATGAGTGGAAGTATCAATATTATATGTTGGAAGGTACAAGACGGAACCATTCTTTTAATTGGTAAAATAGGCACCACTGGTAATTTGAACGGTTTAGATTTCCATCTATTACAATAGTAAAATTCATTTCCTAAGACTTTTGCACTGTTTTTCTTCGCTTTTCAAACCAGTAATGTTCTCTTAAACTTCTTAGCGTATGATGCGAAACTTCAATATGTAAATTCTGCTCATAATCCTTTAAAATTAGGAGATGAATAAGTCTACTGTTATTGATTAAGTATAAGAGAGGTATCCAATAAAAAGCCTTGTCAAGTCTGACGTGGACTCTATACAGTTGGTGTGTATCTTTACGTAGATTCCATTTTTCTATTTGAGTTTTCATTACGTCCGTCTGAGCTTTTTTAATCAAGACGTTTTTTGCCTCGTAATTCAGTGCCATATCATCAAAAGGTTGTTTTCTAATTTTCATAATAAATTTTTATTTATTTCTTACCACCCATATTGCTTGTTTGTAGGAGCTATACCTACCAAAATCAATTAAAGGCTTTTTTTCTTCTGATTTAACCTGCTTACATCGAATAGTTTGGATTTCACTTTCTTCTTTTTTTTTTAATATTGTCATTTATTTTTATATCTGAATAACTCATATCTGATTGCCATTCACTGAAATGTTTATTTAAACATTCAGGCCTCGACCAAAAAAGTTTATCATTTTTTTCTCTAACTGCTTTGGTCATTTTCTTTTTTACTTTTCAGTCTCGTTTTGACAGAATGTGATAGAATATAGACAGTTATCAAAAGCAGACGTTCTGTCGCCACTTTAATGTAATTCAATCTAAATGGCTTCAGAAAGTTGAAAAGCTAGTTGTCTTCATTGTCGAATACAAATATTAAAAAGAATAGCAAAAGGAAAAAGTTGCAGTTTAAGCAAATAGAAACAAAAGCTGCATGACCAATCAGGAAAAGCATACGTATCAAGTAATATCAAAAAATTTATTATTAACTATGGCAAAAAATACACATAACTATACCATGAATAGTCACAAAGAGACTTGAGAGGCTGTAAAGCGACAATCAAGTGACAGAGTTGTAAATAACTGTGAAGAACTCAGATGAAAAAGCATGCTTTTTACAGGCTCTATTAACAATTACAGTAGCAGCGGATTGTAGCATTTTGTTGTTGTTATACAGGATAACAGTTAATTTTCTTAAAAACGGCTTCATTTTTTGATATTCTTTACATAAGATACATTAAAAAGATGGGACAGTATTGGCCGCTGAAGAATAAAGTAACTGGTGAATTTAAATAAGCGTATGGAAAGCTAGTACTTTAAAATAATTAACGAAAGTGTCAGATATGCTTCGATAATCACGCGTTTACATTTGCAGCAATGGAATGTTTAGTGATCATTAGCCTATATAATTACTTAACAAATTCTTCTGTTTTTAAAAAGGCCACTTTTGTGCCGAAACAAAATGAAGTCGCTGAATTGCATTTTTTATCGCTTACCTTTTCTGAACAGTATTTTTGATCTGTAACCAGCTGCCCGAGGGAGTCATTACTGTTAGTCACTGTAAAGTAGCTGTATTGCAAGCAAGTTGATACGATAGGTAGATTTTTATGTTCACACTGTTCATACAAATGGCAGCGAAAAACAACGGAACAAATAATCTTTACATGAACTATGAAATAACTTGCAGTTTCAAGTGATTTTCAGTAAAACTGCGCTTCTGTTCATGTCCTGTTGGGATATTGAAAAAATTATTTCAAGATTCTGGGATTTGTATGGCCACTTTCTTTTGGCACATGAACTTTTATTTACATAGTATCACTTAAATAACTGGTTGGTTACGATAGAAATTTGAAAGTCGAACAACCAGATATGACGGAACCAAGTAAAATTGATGTTGCTGCAAAGTTCAAGCACCAACAATAATCGCTTCTTACAAAAAAAGAAAAAAAAACACTTCCAGGAAACTTCTAATTGAATTTATACCTGTTTATCATTTCCAAAGTCGGAAAATGTTAGAACAGACTACTTTCGAAAATCTCGCAACATTTGTCAAGATGTTTTCAAAAAAAGGAAGATATGGCTTGCTGAGCAGGTTTTTGTTCACAAAAAAAAGACAGTAATCTGAATTATCTGAAAAAAAAAAAGCTGCAAAATGGTAAATATTCAGTTCCTTAGCGTTGAGCAGCATTAATTAAACCTTACTGTGGCTTTAATCTTTTCCGTTATTCACTGCTTTTTTTGCTATTAAGAAAAAATTGATTTAAAACAGAAGAAATCAAAGTTTTTTTTCTGGCAAATCATTTAGGAGAATTCTGTCGACATTTACCTGTCTCTTTTTTTACCGCTTTCCTCCTTCTTTTTTTCCCTTTGTTCCTGTTAACTCGATAACTCGTTAAACTAACCAAGTAACTAAATTTGCGTTTACTAGTAACAAATTTAGAAGTCAGGATTTTTTTATAAGCTGCATTTATTTAGCACTGTTTCTGAGTAATAATAAAATAGGTGAAATTTTTTTGCAGTTATTTTTCAACTACACAGAACAGAAAAATTTAGCAAGTTTTTTTAAAATTTGAAAGTAGTATAAAGTTGATGACGTCAAAAAATTTTTTCTTTTTTCTATTTTGATATTTGGCTCTTAGTTGCGTAGTTCATTTGAACATTGGCCAATTTATAGCTGCGATACCAAGGAATGGTCAGGTGTATAGCGCATTCATAATTGGTATAAACTGTTTAGAAATAAAATTTTTATTTTTTCAATAAATTAATATCAAAGTTTTAATTACTTAGAATTAATTTGATTAAAAGATGTCATTGTTTAGGGAGTACATGTTGCTGATAAAAACCCGGCTATAGTTTGTGTTACGCCGTTGTTAACGAATGTAACAGTGAAAGGCATTGTCGGATTATCTGCACAAGTAAACTGTATAGTAGTGGCGGCTGTAGCAGGAAAAGTTCCAACTTGGTTACCAGTACCGGCAGGTCCATTGAAGAACCTAATGCAGTTTGCTGATGCTGCAGCACAAGCACAATTGGCTGTGTACAAGCAGTTACCTCCAGAGGTTCCCGCACGTACTACATTGGTGAAACCATTAAAGCTTACTGCAGCGTCAGCCACTGGGTCCACAGGGCAGACACAATCTAAAAACAGACTTAATCAACTGCTTGTTCGTGTTAAGTTAAGTCAAAGTATACTCTAATTGAATAGGTTATTTCTGTAACCTGCCGCAGGAGTAGCAGCACATGCATCTGTAAATACGTCTTCGGTTATTGTACCAAGTAGAGCGAAAAGTAGCAACTCTAAAGATATAATATACGTGAGGTAAAAACGATTTAGCATGACAAATTGGTAAACTTTTTAGCTATTTTACGCATCACAAAAAATGTTATTTAAAATAAGTAACTGATAGACCAAACGTTGTTGCTTGTGGAAAATTTCAAAAAAAAAAAATTGTTTTTACTACCGCTACACTTTCTTGGCCATGAACAATAATTAATGACACTGTTAAAAAGTGATCAACAAAGGATCAACAAAGGAAGGATCATCAAAAGATCAACAAAGGAAATTTTATTTTTTTCTAGTTTTACGTAAACCTGCTTACTTTCTTTTTTATTTTATTACAAACTATTTATCGTTAAATTTTTTCAACATGTGATAAACTTTATTTTAGAAATTTATATGTTCCAATCGAGAACAGTAGTCTATTGTGAAATTTCTTCCTTGTTGATTTTGATAGGGTTTCTTGAGACAGTAAAATCAAGAATAGTTAGCTTGATAATGTTAAATTATTACTGTCGCAACTGACTATTTTTGATTCACCAATTTATCAAAACTGAAAGGGCAACGAATATTACTTACCATTAACAAACAATTTAGCGATTGCCATAGACGATATGTTCTTTCTTCCTCTGCAGTTAATCAGTGATTCAAATTTCACTCCAGAACCATTAAATATCACACAGAAACCAATATCTTCGAAATAAAAAAAAAAAAAGGAATTTAAAACGTCCATTTTTTTCGTTTTTTTCTATTTTTTTTGATGAATGACACGGAACTGTTGAGACAATGTTCTGGTATAATAAATCTAGTTAAAAAAAGTCTATCCTGGCCACCGTCATATCTCTTTATTTCCATACGGTTATTTTATGTTTTGTTACGCTTTTCTTCTCTTTTAACTTTTCTTGAATTTAAGAATAAACGATTTTTTGTCAGGATCCTATGAAGTTTTTTATTTTTATTTTTTTTCATTTTTAATTTGTCGGAATAAATAAATAAATCATTTGCTTAATTTTTAATTCTTTCTGCTTCTTTTCCTCTCTTCAATTTCTTTCCCTAATGCGTATTACCCGCATCTGAGTTGTCAAAAAAGAAATTTTGGTATCTTGTCGCATGAGTGATCACTGTTTTTATGTTGAGATTGTCGTAAACTTGTCTGAAAAAAAGTTTTTTTTTGGCTTTATCACTTATATCTTAATAAAGTCTTCTTATTCTACAGTAACTCAAAAAACTTCATTTGGTTGCTTATGGTTTTGACGTAAAAAATCTCTCTTCTATTAATGTTACTCAAATTTTAAATACACTTTCTAAATTGAAATCGGTCAAAAAAAAATAAAAAGATTTCAGGAGTTACTAAAAATGCAGATTTAATCCAGTTAAAATTTTTGATATTTCCTGTTGCCTGCTTTAGCAGATTCTGTACTTTGTATTCTGTTTTCTCTTAAAATAAATACATAAAGTTTTATATATAAATTTTATGCCAAAAACCATTTTAATTGTTTCAAACGTTAGCTGACAAATAACTAAATTTTTTATTTCTACGACAAAACTAAAGTTTAACGCGCAATTTTTGAGTGATAATACATAGTTCGCTGAGTAACAGTTCTTAATTCCACTCTTTTACCGCAAATTTTTTTCTTAAACAAGTATCCACATGAGTTTATAGTTCTGATTTTACCCTGAAAAAATGCGTATTTCTAACGGCCAGTGACTGATAAATTTAGTTCTTTTTGTCAGCATTTTACGCAGTTTGTTTATCAAATTTTGAAATACTTTTTATTGAACAAACAACTTTACTTTCAACTAAAGCAATCTTTAAACGAAAGAATTAATGATTTATGAAGAACTGATAAAAGTGTAAAAGAGAGAAAAACGTTATTTTAGCAGAGAAATGCTTTGACTGCAAGAGGCAGTTATAAAAGTAAACTTTCTATTTTAATTAGTAAAAATTTTCTTTATGTTCTTAATTTGTAGTCATTAAGTAATTGAAGATAATATTTAGTAAGATTTAAATGGGAAGAAATAAACGTATTTTTGTTTCGTCGTGTTGATTTACGGTAAAACAGAGGTTACTGTAAGACCATTCATCCTCTTTATTTCGTCATCTGAGAAAAGTGAAATTTTTTTAGACTTATAAAGCAAAAAATAACTGTTACATGAGCAGCATCGAGAATCAAACAAATAAGAGTAAATAAAACAACAAAATAAATTTTTAATTAAAACTTGAGTAACAGCAAAGACCACGTTCTGCAAGATTATGGT